ACACACACACACACACACACACACATATATATATATATATATATAGAATGGAAAGGCTTTTAAATGTTCCTCAGAAGCATCAAAATGATCAGAAGAGCTTTAAAAATGTGCAATCATTTGTTTATTATATGGTTCAATTGGGTCAAATTCTATGGGGCCTAAATGGTATTAAGAGGAAAATACAGAGCCTAGAAAACTTTCCTTTTAGGGCTCTAAATGCAAAATCCCCCAGTTTGCATGGCCAGTGGATTCAGGGAGCTGCTGTCCAAAGAGATTTCTACATGCTGGGATGCAGGAAGTGTGGAAATTCACTGGAATGCAGCTTATGATCATAACCAGAAGTTTATGACTAAAAATAATAATGATAAAGCATGACATGCAACATATAAACTGTATAAAGAAATAAACAAAGTTATTATATAGCAATAGCAAGTACATTTCTATACTGCTTATCAGTGAACTAAGCACTCCCTCCCTAAGGGGTTTACAATGTGTAAGCTAATTGCCCCCAACAAGCTGTGTACTCATTTCAGCAACCTACAGAAGGATGCCAGGCTGAGTGGACCTTGGAGCCCTGCAAGATCGAACTCACAACTCATTTAACCACTGCACCACCAGGGCTCCCTCAAAATTATGTTAAAATCTACACTGAGAAAAAATACCTTTTATATTATATTGAAAAGTACACAGAGGCTGAATTTTTGTTTTCTGAAAGGTATGCTTTGCATAAGAGCCAGAGTGGTGTAGTGGTTTGAGTGCTGGACTAGAACTCTGGAGACCAGAGTTCAAATCCCTGTTCAGCTATGAATTCACTGGGTGACTCTAGGCAGTGTACTTTTCAATAACTTTTTAAGGGGGGGAGGGAATTATATTGTTTTAAGTTGTACGTATTTTAGTGTTGTACACCGCTCAGATTGGCTTGCCACAGGGCAGTATATAAATAACATTTATTATTATAAAATAACTTTATTAAGTCACATTCTCTCAGCCTCAGGGAAAGCTAATGGCAAACCCCTTTGGACAAATCTTGCCATGAAAACCCCATGATAGGGTTGCCATAAATCAGAAATGACTTGAAGTCACACAACGCACACTTGCTTTGCATTGGTCTACTATTTTTACAGTATGGGAAGACACAATTAAGATGATATCATTCCATCTGAAGTGCCATGTTTCCATTTTATGGGATCCTGGGATTTGCAGTTTAGGGACGAACATTTAGAATTCTCAGTCAGAACTTGAGTGCTTTATCAAACTATTAATCCCAAGATTCCATAGAATTCAGGTATGGCAGTTAAAGTGGGAATCATAATGTTATAATGGTGCAATGTGAAAGAGCCTGTGATGATATGATTTCCTGCAAATGTCCAAATTCAAATCTACAGAAAAGTGAGGATCTTCAACCACAAATCTTCTATCTGCTGTTCAAGATATTCAAGCCAGGCAACCTTGGGAACTCCATTGTTTCAGACATCAGTTTCTGGCAGCTATAACAGCTGAGATAGCTGATTACATGGGCTATATTCTAAGACCGTATGTGACCAAGTTACTCACAGGACACCACTGAATTCTTGAGAAAAGTGCTGACTGCAATAGTATTCTAGCTACCATGGAAGCTGAGGCCCTTGACAGCAACATCATCCACAAATATTGATGCATCAAGAATATCATTCCAAAAGAGGTTACAGTTGTTCTAGCTACTGAATAATAATAATAATAATAATAATAATAATAATAATAATAATAATAATACGATTTATTTATATACCGCCCCTCTGGTAAACCAATCAAGGCGGTGAACAAAAATACATTAATACATTACATTACATACCAACAGTATGAACTCAGCCACAACCCACAGCCCACCATGGATGAAAATACTTGCCTCTCAAGGACCTTTAGTGGCAATCCTGTATTTTCTTACAAAAAGCTGCCCAACCAAGAACAATTTTGTATTACAAATGGATACAAGCCCAGGGACAAGACTGCAACAAAACTAGATGCCAGGTCCTCCTTCAGATCTATTCTAGCAAACTATTACAGAACCTACTAATATTATCCACAGCATCAAACACTCATCTTCCAATGTGATACACAGTACCACCTACCAGCAATCCCATTCTGCATTCTATTCAAGATGCATAAGCCATCGCTCAGGGTTACACCAAGATATTTTACTGCCTGAGGCAGAGTATATGGCATTTCCCCTTTCCATTTGGAAGTGATCAGATTGGCAGTTAAAACTTACTCAAACAGCATCTTTCTTAGGGCAGTAGGTTAGCGAGAGGCACAGGATAACCTCTTTGGCTGAAATAATTCTGAAATAACACCTCTCCACTGATCTTCCTTCTCAGGCAGCTATCTCCTTGAGTAGCAGCCTGTCTTCAAATAGCAGAAGCAGCCTTCAAGTCTCTATACAAGATAATGTGGGCAGTGCATCTAACATTAAAATGACAGTATTTAAAAGCAACAAACAGGAGAACATTTCAGCCCCTCAAAACACTCCTCCATGGAGTTCAGAAGTGGCTACTATTGAGCAAAGAAATGTCAAACGGATGTTAGGGAGAAAGATGACACAGTTACAGTTCACCAATAGGATCAATTCTGCTCCGTGTCTTGAAATGGGTTCTTTTAAATTACATTTCATGAATTACTTGGCTTACTCACTGCCTGAATGTGCCTGTTATCAGCAAGAGTTGTTTTGTGAATGACCATTGCCACCATGATTGTCACTGTCATTCACTTCATTTCCCTCTGACCTGTTTATAACATTCATTCACATATCGTGTGTGTGAATATGTCTCTGTAACTCCAGATAACATCTCATTCATCTGGTGAAACTGATTATAATTCATGAAAGCTTGTTGCTGTTGTGTGCCTTCGAGTCATTTCCAATTTAAGGTGACTCTAAGGCGAACCTAGCAAGGGGTTTTCTTGGCAAGATTTGTTCAAAGGATGTTTGCCTCTGAGGCTGAGAGTGTAACTTGTCTAAGGTCACTCTGTGGGTTTCCATGGCTTAATGGAGATTTGAACCCTGGATTCTAGAGTCATAGTCTGATGCTCAAACCATGCCAACTCTCTCATGAAAGTTTGTGACATAGTAAGTCTGGTATCTTGTTGATTAGTTCCAACTAGAATAGCCCAATTCAGTCATCTATTGAATTGTGAGTCAACATGTACGGTAGGAAAATCCACCTGATTCAGTGTGTCTACTCCACTCATGGCTAACAGCAGCATTTTGATCTGTAAATGTAATCTTTAATGTGCCACAAGACTCTCTCAAAATCTGTAAGTTATATAGATCATCAAGAATTTAGATATGCTAGCTATCAATGAGCAAGGAAAGGGGTGAGTTCTTAAACACCAACATCCTGAATTTATACTAAGAGGCTAGATACATCTGACCATAGTGATTCAATATCTATGCTTGTTAAGCGTTGCCTGTTTGCTGTCATTCCAACATGCATATTCATCCTTTACATGTGTGATTGTGATTTGCCAGAATAAGCCATCAGAACAGCTACTGTTTTGGACTACAACTCCCAGCACACCTTGCTGTGCTGACTGTGAATTCTGGGATCTGTTGTCCAAAAAGTACCTTTTCCCAAACTCTGTGTCAAAATCATGTTTTTCAGTGGATGTTCTGCATGAAGGAAATTGCGTGTATGTGCAAACACAGGAGACCCAGCGTAGTGTACTATTTTGAGAGCTGGACTATGACTCTGGATAGCAGGGTTAGAATCCCTGTCGGACATGGAATCCCACTGGGTGACCTCAGGCAAGTCTCAGAGGGATTTGTTCCCCTCTAGTGGTGTAGCTTCCTGGACCTTAGATCAAACATTGATCAGGGAGGAGAATGCAGTCAAGAACTCAGATGAAGACTAGGAAAGAGAAAAGCAGTGATGAAAGAAACAAACAAGACCCTAAAGAGTAAAAATATACAATTGAGCACAAAAATCAGAGTTGTGCAATCCAATGTATTACCCATCACCATGTATGGATGTGAGAGCTGAACAGTGAAGAAAGCGGATAAAAAGAAAATCAACTCGTTTGAGATGTGGTGCTGGAGAAGAGTGCTGAGGATACTGTGGACAGCCAAAAAGAAAAACAAATGGGTCCTTGAACAGATCAAGCCTGAGCTCTCCCTGGAAGCCAAGATGATTAAATTGAAGCTTTCATACTTTGGCCACATCATGAGAAGACATGACTCACTGGAAAATACAATGTTAGGGATAGTAGAAGGCAGCACAGAGGTAGACCACATGCCAGATGGATAAATTCAATCAGGGTTGTCATGGGCCTGAATTTGGAGATCTAAGCAGAGCAATGGAGGACAGGGGGTCTTGGAGGTGTCTCATACTCAGGGTCAACTTTAGAACAGCTAACAACAAAGTGGTGTTGCGGTCTGAGTGCTGTACTAGGGCTCTGGAGACCAGGGTTCGAATCCCTGCTCAACCACTGAATCCCACTCTCTGCCTCAGAGGGATGTGTTTCCCCCTCTTACGAAGAAAACCTTGCCTTAGGGTCTCCCGAAGACAGAAATGACTTTGAAATCGGCAACAAGAAGAACAAGGATTGAACATGAGAGGACTGGGGCAACTGAAGAGTATCAGAGAGGCATTTTCAGGCTAAGCTACTTACTGGCTGAATAAGAGGAGTCACTCAGGGAAAGGACCAACAACCCACCATGTCTGCCCCATTCACAGCAACCAGCTGCACAGGAACAACTGGTTCAAGAACGTGAGCCAGTCCTCTTACTTTCAACCTCTTATTTTCAACGCCTCGCCTGGCGTGGCAAGAGTGGGGAAGCCGCCCTCCCTCCACACCTCTGGTGCCACAACGAACTACATTTTCCTATGGAATTCTGACACCAGTTAAAAGTGGTGTCAAATAAGATTATTTCTACAGTGTGGATGAAGGCTGGGACTCTGGGTTCAAATCCCAGCTTGGCCATGGAAACCTGGAAGACCTGATTTCCTCCTCTTCCCGGATCTCCATTTCAACCTTCTGCCCAGGAAGGATGTCAAAACACCCTCCATTTTGACCAGGACTTAGAAGTATGTGTTTCTATTTATAGGAGTGCTTTATTTAAATGTTAGGCTGTCAAGACGGCCTCCATTTCGACCAGGACTTAGAAGCATATGTTCATATTTACATGAGTGTTTTATTTATATTTATATTCATTTATATAGGATGTCAAAACTCCCTCTATTTGGAGCAGGACTGAGAAGCATGTACTTATATTTACATATATAAATATAAACACATTTTTATATTTATATTTATATGAGTATTTTTTGTGTAGCTTTTAACTTTGTCATTTCCTACATTTCTTTTTCTTGGACGTCCTGCCCTTTTGCGGTGCCTAGCCCTCCTAGGTCACCCACTGAGTGGGCAAGTCACACTCTCTCAACCTCAGAGGGCAGCCATGGCAGAAAAACAAAAACAAAACAAAACAAACAAGCACCCTCTGAGGAAACTTGCCAAGAAAGCTCAATGACAGGGTCGCCAAAGGTCGGAATCGATTCGAAGGCACACACCACCACCACAATGAGGGTTAATGCATAGCTTATGTGGCGTGGAATCCTTCCTCCCTTGCGGCTCTAGGCGCCCAGGAAGACGGGAAGGCCCTACCGGGGCCTGGGCGCCCCTCTCCCGAGCCATCCCTGCTTCCTTACCTTCCCTGCTAGTCCATGAGGGGCGGCCAGAGTCCACCGTCCGGGAGGAAACTCGCCTCAGGGCTCCCGCGAGACTCGAGGAAATGAGGCAGCTTCCCTACCCGTCCCGCCTGGGTAAAACTACCT